TGTATTTTGCTCACTTGAACAGGGAGAGATCATACTGATCTTACTTCATCAAGGCAGAAGTACAGCCAAAGTTTGTTTGACCCCAGGGACGTGTCCTTGTACAGTTGGATGCTGTGCAAAAGCCGCTAAATGGCAGAAGACTTCAATATTATGTATGAATTGGCTGGCGCTCCCTCTTGGCAGGGATAGAGAGAGGCGAGTAGCGCACATTTCTTTCTTCTTTGAGCCAGTAACAGCTCATCCCTTTCATTGTCAGATGAAGCCGGAGGCGAGTACAGGAGAGATAAACACAACAGACCGTGCCTCGCTGACCCGCCGGTGAACCTCGGGCAGGAGAGCGAGTCCCTCGGCCGTGGCAGAGCCGAGCTTCCCCAGCCCCAGCCCCGGGCTCGGGGAGAGGCGCCGCGCTGAGCCCGGCCGGGGCCCGCCTGACTCAGCGGCAGCTCCTGATGCCATTCCTCGTCTCTGGCAGGATATGAAAAATGTGTCAAGCCTGGCACACGACAGTAAACATAATCCTTTGGGCTGCCTTTGGTGCTTTCACCAGCCCGTTTTAGTGTGGCCAGTTTGTAAACGATGCCTTTTAGACAGAAGAGCAAAACCCCCCTGGCGCCGCTCCTCAGTAAATGCAAAGATGACTTCAACGCACGCTGCGCTGAATTACAAAACTCTTTTTTTTCCTCTCTCTCTTTTTTTTTTCCTTTTGGTTCCTCGCCGAAGTATCAGAGCAGTGCTTTGAACTGAGGTTACCTTTATGATTCACGGCATGAATGAGCACTTAGTGTGCGCATACAAGAGCCCTGTACGAATCAGGAAATGGCTCTTTCAGGTCTCCTGACAAAAGGAAGTGAGTCCGAAGCTTGCTAAATTTACAAAGAGGACGTTGGTGAACTTAATCTGGGGCAGGGGGTGGGGGGAAGGGAAGAATCTCTTTTCACTGAGGATTGATACACAAACTCCCCATGTTTCTGTATACCGTTTTTAATAACAACAAAAATAAATTAAAGGGGCTAAAACTGTGGTGGTGAGAGCCGTCTCCAGCTGGCTGCCTGGGATCGCTGGCTGGTACGTGCATACAGCCACGGAGACATTTCTGGCTTCGTGTTTCAGCATTCCCCCCTTCCCTGGGGCAGTGAGAGCTCTCCTCCATCTCTGGGGTGAAGATGAGAGCTGGCAAGGAGGGAGCATCGCCCTGCTCGGGGCTCCTTCCCTCCTCTGCCCGCGGAGCGGGGGCACGGCAGGCTCCGGGGGCTCCTCCGGGGCTCCTCCGGGGCTCCTCAGCGCTCCCAGCCAAGCCTGTGGCTCACTTTCAGTTCAGAGAAACCGACTGAACTTCCCCAAAGGCATGGGTGCTGCGCCCTGGAGTTGAACGAAGGTACTCCAGACAGAGACATGGAAGGTTCAGATGCAGTGGGACACAGAACAGTGGATTTTGGAAGATTTTGGTACAGGACGTGGTGGGTCCTGTGGTTTCACACTGTAGCGGCCAAAGCAGAGAGAATTAAGTTCTCCTTGTGAGGTTATTCTTTTATCTGGGCACGCAGGGGCTGAACTCACTACTCCCTTACAATGCACATTGCACAAGCCCCTGGGAAAAGATGAGGTGCTCTCTGACAGCCCTCCAGTACTTGTCTACACAGTGGGTAAAGGACTGCACCAACAGCCTTCCTGCCACTGCCTCTGTGCCCCAGCCAAAAAGCGTGGAGCAAATGACCCATGCTGCCACTTCACGGGCTCTCTCACCAACTCCAGGTTAGCTTTGCTGAGAAAGAGCTGGACACTCACTAAAGTGCACCCTTTAGCCTCAGTCTCGATCAAATTCTTGAGTCTTGTGAATGTTTATAATCGCGCTATAAACAAAAAGAGAAGTTCCCTGACCAGGCTGTCCAATTGTCCCCACTGCTCCTTTCACAGTGGGCACAAAGGCTCTGGGATCACAAGCACAGCTCAGGCTGTGCCATGGCTGTGTCCCAGGCACACTGCAAGCAAGTCAGCTGGGATCCTCCTCCCTGCAGAAGATCCAGCAAAGCTCATCCACTACAGGATCATGCCCCAGAAAGTGAGGCTGGGGATGGAGCACTGCATTCAGTTCACCTGCCACAGCAGGACACAGCACACTGACTGACTGGATTTGTGGGTTGCTTGGTAGATTGAGACCTTTAAATGCACACACACACACACAAAGAAAAAGGGTAAGGAGGAGTCAAGGAGCTTAGTCTACTGCAGGCACTTCAGGTCCATTTCCAATGGAGCAGAGGGAGGGAGGGAGGAATCCTTTCGAGGGAGCAGACTTGTAACCGGCTGTGAGACATCTTCAGCCCACCTTTGATTTTGCCAGCTTTCAACATCAGTGCAATGGCTACCAGAACACCAGCTTGAAAACGTGGCTGTGAGAGCAGCACTGGAGGAATCCATGAACTTCCAAGTCCAGCTCAGACTTTCATCTTTAGGCAGAGATAGCCAGTGATGAATTTCACTGTCATGAAATAGGAGAAAACAATCCAATTGCATCAATACACCAACATTTTCTCCACAGGGACCCTAAGAAAGCTGCCAGCTCCAGTCAACTTCAGAACCATATCGGGTCAAAACATACCAGAATCAGCTAATGGTACAGACTTAAGAGGACAGAGGGTTGTTGAACAATTAGGAACATATTTTTTTCTACTAAAACAACTTCTGCTTTGTAGTTTAGATATTGTTATCAAATGTCTTCCTGGTAAACAAGAAGCTTTTGTACCTGTCAAACCCCTCTGGAAGGGGGTTAACCTAGGCAGCTGCCAGGCCACCCAGGTGCAACATCAACACTGCTGTGAGAGGCTGCATCCAGGAAGGTCCAGTGGGAAGCCAAAATGCTCTTTGTCAATAGCAGTTTATTGTGATAAAACTGGCTTTAGAAGTAGCTCAGAATTCAAAGGAAGGTACAGAAATAATCATAACAAAACAAAAAAGGGGAAAAGAACCAAATGCAGCAGTTTATATTTGTCCAGAAGCAAATGTGCTCACACTGAGGTTTTTCTGACAATAAACAGCAGTAACAAGTCCCTTCAACTCCCAGGGGCACTGTCTTCTCACGAGGTAAAATGCAACTCCCTCCACATCAATCTTGGTCTTCACTGCTCTCCTTGAAGGTGACGGATACAATGACAAAAGCTCCAAAACATTTTCATTATGACTGCTGTGAAGCCTGTGTCGGGGGCCTCCTGCCATCAGAGGACTGAGTTTGAACCAGAGTTTTGCAATGAACATTTGTGGCAAAATCCTGTGTGTTTACTGAAGGCTGCAAGACTGTGCACATTTACCTGGGCTAACTGGAATATTCCAGGCTGGAGATGCTCCTTCCAGCAAACAGAGAGGCTTCACTGTCACTTTTGACATGAGACATGCTGCCTACAGAAATCCTCGTCCCAATGTAGGGCCATCCTCAGACCCTGATGACCTCCAGTGCTACAACCTTCACAATTAGAGATGGTGTTTGTAAGAGAGAGCATTGCCCCAACCTCTGCTGCAGCCAGTGCAGCCAAGGATGCTGAGATCAGAACACTGATTCAGCTGCACACAGTCCAGTTACCAAGCCAAAAAGCTTCAAGTGGAAGAATGACCCAACATGACACTTGGGTGCGGAATATACCGTTTTTAGCCTACACTGTAATACCCACAGGCAAAGTCTGTCAGAAGATAACACATGCATGCACAATTTAGTTCCATGTGCACACACACACACACACATATAGATGTCTATAGACACCAGCAGTGGTCAGCTCCTCTCCTGCTCCTCATTAGGAACGTCTGGGCCAAGAGAATTGAATGTTTACAAACTCTCGGGCTCTTACCAGCATGACACTTTTTTTTAATTTCCTGTAGTTATAAAACCCAGAAGACATAAGGAAAGGATTCCAGCTAAGGCTGTCTCTTGCTCACATTTTGGAACCATCTCCTTATCATGTGTGTATGCAGGTGCCTGAAGGCAGTCATTTCCTGCTAGATAAAAGCATTCCTGTTTGATGTCAATCACTTGGGACATTTTTAAGCAGCAGTGTAAATATGCTGAATTAAGACCTGATCAAGTGAAAAGCATTTAAGCAATATTTATTTAACTCAGGCTATTAAACATGCACATGTGTATATGTAAACAAAGAACTGAATTACCAAGTAATCACGTCCTTAAATGCTAATGTGGCATATGCCAAATATTGAAATAATATTAAACTGAAAAAACAGACGCATCTAAAGCTGTATTCCCAATTCTATGGTAGATATTGTCTATGTTATATGAGAATGCATAAATGAAGAACTATCTTAAGGGCAGAAACAAATCTATGCTTGTACCACAGGAGTGGTGTAACAGAGCATTTACTGCTCTATTTCCCAAGTTTCCTTCCCACTACTGACAAAAACACTACTTTGATCCTCCCAAGCCTGCTTAAACTATCTTGGCAAGTTTCAAGTAAAAACAAAACCACACACACACACACCTCCCAAACCCCATGCAAGAACTCTACTCCCTGTATCAACATACATCTTTAGCAGCCTAAAACAATCATAAAAACATGTACTGAACATGTTGGGAGATACTGTTTTTCTGCCTAAGGCAACCACATGCCTTATTGCCCGTACTGAAAAAGAGTTGGCCTGTTTTACAATGCCCACACAGACTGGCATTCACACTGACAAGGTCTGTTTGTTTTTCTGTAGAAGCCTGTGGAATATGCTCAGCTGGAATACCTAACCATGCAATAACAGGAATACCTAACCATGGAATAACAAAGATGTTTACAAGCATTTTGAATCTGATTTACTTTGCATTTTCTTCCCTGCTCTTTTTAGAAAGTTAATGTACCACACAAACACATATTTCATGTTATCCTTCCCCCATTCCTCATATTCACTGATTAATGAAGGAGCATTTAAGGTTCACCAACACAGCTTTAAATGCTCTGAGCCACTTGGATTACAGTAACTTGTAATGCATCAAGCCCCCAAAGAGAGACTCATGGAAATGACAGCAAATGATGAAAGGGTTTTATTGTGCAAAGATTTCAAAATGCTGGAAATCCTTTTGTATTTCCCTCCACATCACTTTTTCCTCCCCTCCCCTCCCCTGGGTGGGAATAAGGAAACAGCCAAGTTATTCTATAGCTGGTTCCCACCACGTTGATGTTCTGGTTCCCATTGTGCTGCTCATTCAAGCAAAAACAAGAACAAGCATTAACAGCTCCATTCCCATCCATCCAGCAGACAGGAACTCACAGATGCTTCATTACACACCTCCTGCTGGCACTGATGAGGCAGAGGACGTGTATAGAAAGGAGGGGGGGACTCAGACAAAACACAAGAGGCATTGTAATTGTTCCCATTCCCAATTCTGTGAGCTCCTGGTAGCCAAAACATCCTACTACTGTCAGCTTTCCTCGCTGGTAAAAAATACAGGCACTGTCAACAGCACCCAGAGAACCTCTCAGATTGTGCAAACATTACATCCGTGAGTTTAAAGAAGACAGGAGAAGGGGAAAAACCAGACATTTTCTGTAACTGGAATTTTATTTTATATATAAATAATAAAGAGACGGAGGGATTTTGAGACTCGCTACTTGCAATGTTGATCCTGCAATGGGACAAGCATGGGCAGCCTTGAGTGCCACTGCAGAACAGAGGACAGAGTCTCAGGACTGACCCAACACATGGGGTGTCCTTTCACAGCAGCAGCCCGAGCAGCAGATCACCAGACTGTCCTGAGGCAGAAGGCAGATTAGTCACATTCAAAATGGATTCAGGTGGTTTTCATCTTTTTCTTGGGAAAGTGTTGCTCATATCTATATTTTTATTCACCTATAACCAAAGAAAGGGGACAGAGGTTAAGGGGGAGAGGAATGGAGGGAGAAAGCAGAATTAAATTTATCACAGGCCCTTTCATTTTTACAGTGTAATCAAAACTTTTTTCTTTGATGTGGCAACTTGATCAAAATCTGTTTGAGGAACATTCTCAAAACCAATTTGCTTGCAGTAGAGATATTTAACTCTTCATATTACTGACATTAGAGCACTAATCATCATGTCTGTTCTAGAGGACTCCATTCCCATAGTTGAACTAAATGGAAAGACAAAAGAGAACAAACCAAACACCAACTGGAGTCTTGTATAATAAACCAACTTTCTCAAAAAGAATTCTTTTAAATTCCCATCAAATGCATGTTTTCTTAAGCTTATTTAATCTGGAGCAAGACTAGGACAATTTAACTCAAAGAACTGGAATTACATAAATGTAGATCTGGAACAGAGTGAAAATGAGATATGCCATCTTCATGGGAAAACACAAAACCCTGTCACTTCTGCGCAACTCCCAAATACAACAGCTGGATAAAATTAAAATTTTTTTCTTCCACAGTGGGATGTGGTTTGAGCTGAAGTTTGCATATAATTTCTGATGACAAACTATAATAAAGGAGGTGCAGTGCTGCTGGTTTTTGGAACAGAGAATTATATTGTTGTCTTCAACCCAATATGATTTTGTCCTTGGCTGACCATTCACAGTTCAGAGACCCATGCTGTGGCAAATCATGGAGGAAATGACATTGTCTTTATTTTAGTAACCACATTCAACTAGGAATATTCCCAACAGTTGAAAATGCAGTGAGATTTTTAGGACTGATCTCATCCAAAATAAAAAATGTGTCTTTTCAAAGATCACAGCAATGTTCTCCAACCTTTGGGATCACCCAAATCCAACAAAACATCTGGACTTCGGTATGGAGTTAAATGACAGGATTTGATTTCAAGCACAAGTAACAAACTGCCACCCCCGCAGAGCAGCTGAACTCGATACTGAATTGAACTTTCACCATCTGCTCGCCCTAGGTCACAAATCCAGCAGTTCCCTTCATGTGCCTCCTCCAGAAACAACATGAAGTGAAGCGTGGAGGTTTCAAAACCAGGAGCATTCAGGTTCTTCAAGCTCCTGGGCAATTTATCTTCACTCTCTTAAAACCTTCCTCAAACAAGGAAAATGTGCCTGAAGCAAAAGGCTGACATTTCAAAAAGTGAATAAAAAAATTCTATTCATAGCAAGAAATTCTAAAAGAAGATAAAACCTATTTATGGATTTCTGTTTGAACCTTGATATTTGTGCAGTGTCACAAACAAAAGTTCAGTTTTCTTGGGTTTTTATCATTTAGCAGCTCTGTCCTAGCTGACAAGAAGCACAACAATATTTCAGTGAATTTTAGAGAGGCTTTTCTTCCTCTCAGTTCTCTTGGGATTCTTTACAGAAAAAAATGTTCAATAATCCTTCCATTATTTTTTTTTTGTTTTTATTTTAAATTACTATCTTACAAACTACTTGGAAAACATGTATTTTTAAAGACTTTATATTCATAGCTCTAAAGGGAAAGCTAAGGTACTCAGTACATCAGCCAGTCAACAAGCTCACATTGCTGTTGTGAGAATTAGCAATAACAATTAAAACACTTTAACATTAAAAACCCGGTTTTCTTTTAAAGCTGCCCATGAAGCAGTGGAACACTGCTGCTCAGCAGATGGGTGATTCCACCACATCTGCAAACATGTGTGACTGATGCTGGGGCATGGAAAAAAACTGATGCAGTTTGCCAGATCTGGACTCTATTTACACAGGTTGGAAGCAAGGAAAAAAAAAAAGATTATTCTGGTAAATGCAATACTGCACACAAAAATGATGAGGAGTACCAACAATGCCAGGATCACTTTCTGATGAAAAATAAGTTTTTAACATGATGCAAAAATAATAGAGGGCAAAGAGAAGCAAGTAGAAAACATGTTCAGAAGAGACATTCATTATCAACTGATAACAGAGCAGACATCTGACATTTTGTGCTAAATTATGTCCAATTATGTTATAATTATTTGTAATAAGCCTCAAATACAGAGCAATTTTTATCCTATGAAACGAAACCATGACAAAATGTCAAGAGGATGTTTCTGTTTTGCTTTTCTAGAAACTGTAACCATAGGACTTGCTTGAGTTCATAACACAGCCCTGAGGCCAAGTCAGAACTGGTATCTCAACTCGAGTTTCTGCCTTGGAGAGCCTGGAAAATGCTGCCTTCATTTCCTGCATTTTCTGCTCCCAACAGGACTCATTTGGGAGCTGCAGTAACGTGAAAGGTCAGGTACATCATGGACTTTTACAGGCTGTAAGGCACTGCTGTACCCTGGCACTCACAAATCTTTAGAGAAAACTCATCAGCAGGGAAGAGGTTTTTTTCCCCACCCTAATACTTGTGCAAGCATGACAAAAAGGGCAGAGAGGTTTCTGGTAGGGAAGGCAGAAATGGGAAGACAAAAAAGAAAATAAAAGGCCAAAACTAACCAACACCACAAAGACAAAGCTTTCCTCAATTAATTCAGAACCCTTCAAACACACATGTATTTACCTGTTATGCTCTAAAGATGAAGAATTTAGATTTCTTAACTTGAATAGTGTTAGGGAGTGCATATATTCTTGACAAATTTTAGGACAAATAAAATTATCTGTCTGCACTCTCCTAATCATTATGAAGAAAACTACAAGTCAAACTTGAAAGTGTTCAGCTTTTCCCAGTTACTCTGCTGCTTAGCCACAAACTCTTACCAGTGTTTATCCTTTACCTGCTTGATGCCAGGTGATGTAGCATTCTACTTCTGGGTCTGCTCTTTATTTGAAGCAGCATGGACTTCCAGGGGCTTGTCACCCACTGCATCACCCTTGCGGAAGAAAAAAAATATGCACAGCATTTCAGTTGAGGCATGATTAATGTTTTTACCAGAACAGAAACCCCTTCAAAAGCTAAAACAAAAATATCTCACAAAATCAAGTGCTTCATGAGACTAATTCAGTATAATACACTCAAATACGATCTTCTACCAAACACATTCTAGACTTTAGTCTTCCTGTAGCTAGCCAAGCAATTAAAGGGTTTGAAAGAACAAGTATTTTCAACAGAAGTGCTTTAATTGAATCATTTTGCCTGTATTAATAACAGAGGATGAATACCCACAGAGTAGTTGCTATTTTGCATTCTCTGAATTCTGTGTGGATTTATACAATAGATCCCTTTTAGCACATACCCTTTTAGAGGGTGTTCTCACACTTTCCCCAACATTAATGACAGAAATCAAAGAATGAAGAGAAGCTTGTTACAGGGTCTGGTCTATCCATTTGCCAAGATGCTATAACAAACATGCATTTGATTACAGCTTTAAATAGATATCCATTTAAAAATACTTAAAGGGCCACACACATGGCTTGGGGACTGAAGCACATAGCAGGACCAGCTGAGACGAGGATCTGTTCAGACTGGTGAGGACCACACAAAGGGGGAACCTAATTCCAATCCACAATTTCCTAATGGGCATTTACATGTTTGGAAGAGCCACGTCCTTCTCAGAGGTTCACATCTAAAGGACAGGGAGAAAAGGACAGAGGAGCATGGCAGATTTCTCTTACTTCAAAGGGCAAAAAGTTATAAATGTATCACAGCGCTGATCATTGGAGCAGGTTTTCCTGACAACTTTCTAAATCTCCACTCCAGGAAATACTCAGCACATGATTACATAAGGCCTGAACCACCAAATCTAATTTTGAAACTGCCTCTGCTTGGAACAGGGGTTTGGCTGAAATAATCAGAGGTGGCACCCACCCTCAATTGTTATTAAATTCTACACATGGAAATTAAGTGGCATTTCCTCTTTATTCTAGAAGGTTATTTTTACCAACATGACTTAATTAAAGAGATGATTGGTGACAGCCAACATGGCTTTACTAATGGCAAAGTGCACCTGACAAACATGATGGCCTTTTGTAACAGGGTTCCAGCAGTGGTGGACAAGGGAGAGTGACTGATGTCATCTGTCACTTGTGCTAAGTGCTTGACACTGTCCAGCAGGACAGCCTTGTCTCTCAACTGCAGAGACATTGATTTGATGGATGGAGCACTCAGTGGATAAGGAATTGGCTGCATGGTCACACTCAGAGCTGCAGACATCACTCTGATGTCTGAGAGACACCAGGGACAAGTGGTGGTGTCATCTTATTGCAGAGGTTTCATATTGTTGTCTCCTTATTGCAAAAGTTCCATATCTTCTTGATACTGTCTCATGGGCAGCTCCTCAGAGCACTGACTCTCTCTTCTCCACAAAGCAGCCACTGACTCCAGTTCCCTTCTCACCCAGCCACCCCACTCTTTTATAGCATCTTCTTCTCATTGGTTACAGCTGTGGCCTGGTAAAGTCAGGCCTGTTCCTAATTTTTGCTAATTGGCCCAGCTGCAGCTCCTTAGGGAGAAGATTACTTTCTACACCATCTTTATTTTCCTATATTCTATCCCCCCACAAGTGGTGCTCCTCAGGGGTCAGTGCAGGGACTGGCACTGACACCTCTGCCAGCAGCAGGGACCCTGGGGCCCTCAGCAGTCTGCCAACAATCCCCAGCTGTGTGCTGCTCAAGATTCTGCAGGGAAGGGATGCCATCCACAGGGACTTCACAGGCTTCAAACACGGGCCCGTGTGAACCTCATGAAGTTCAGCAAGGCCAAGTGCAGGGTCCTGCACTGGGGTCAGGACAATCCCAAGCACAAACAGAAGAGAATGGATTGAGTAGAGTATGGATTGGGTAGAGAATGGATTGAGAATGGATTGAGAACAGCCCTGGGGAGAAGGATTTGGGGATGCTGGTTGATGAAAACCTCAACATGACCCAGCAATGTGCCCTTGCAGCCCAGAAACCAACCACACCCTGGGCTGCCTCAAAAGTAGCGTGGGCAGCAGGTCTGCTTTGCTCCTGGAAGCACACCAGGAGTGCTGTGTCCAGCTCTGGGGCCTGGGACATCAGAAGGATGGGGACTTGTTGGAGCAAATCCAGTGGAGGCCAAGGGATCATCAGAGAGCTGGAGCACCTCTTCTACAGAGACAGGCTGAGAGAGCTGGGATTGTTCATCCTGGAAAAGAGCAGGCTTTGGGAAAACTTCTTGCAGCTCTCCAGTGCCTTAGGGGGGCCACAGGAGAGCTGGAGAGGGACTTCTCAGAAGGGCCTGTAGTGACAGACAAGGGGGAATGGCTTCAAACTGGAAGAGGGCAGGTTTAGATTCCATATCAGGAAGAAATTCTTTGCTCTAAGGGTGGTGAGGCCTTGGAACAGGTTGTCCAGAGAATCTGCTGATGCCCCATCCCTGGAAGTGTTCAAGACCAGGATGGATGGGGCTCTGAGCAACCTGATCTAGTGGAAGCTGCTCCTGCAGGGGGTTGGAACTAGATTATCTTTAAGATCCCTTCCATCCCAAACTATTCTTTGATTCTGCAATACTAAATGTGATGGAAAATGTAGCAAAGGAAGCTAGAAGAGACTGGAAAATGTTTCAAAGAGTGGGTCAAATTTATATATTACCAGTTAAACAAGATAAGGTACCAAGTCTGTGCAATCCTACATATGCTGTGCTAGAGATATGGACTCAATACAACAAGATTCAATTATGAAGATATTTCTTAAATGTCTTATTCAAAAAATGCCTAGCAAGACATTTGAAAGGTAATTACTTCTTTGAAAAATCCATTTGTTTTGATTACTACTCTGGATATTTCCTAGTAGGGGAAATCACATCCACAAACCACACCCATTTCAAAATAATAATCTACTCTGTAATTTGCCTGTACAGGAACTTCTAAGCTATGACATTTTACTAAAATTTACAATGAATAATCTGACTAACGATGCCTCATCTCAGAGTTTACTCAATCCTGAACAAATGAACTAAAAATAAGCTCCTCACAGAGAAGGCTGTGTTTTTCCAGTTTCTTGTTTTAACTTGTAAAGAGTTATTATTGTCTAGGTGAGCTTTTTTTTTTTTTTTATGTCCTGAAAGAGGAAAACAATCTAAAGCAACACACACACGTGCACAAGGGAAGAGCTGTCTTGCTAAATTCCTTTGTTTCTTTGAGCTGAGGAGATCTCATCACAGGGCTTGCCTTCAGTATAACTGTTAACCTGAGTTATTTAATTCAAGCCAATCCACTGACAGACTGTCATTCCTCACACAGTCATTTGCTGAATTAGCAATTAAGAAGTTTTTACCTCCAACCACTGTATATGCCCACAGTATAAATAGTGAGCTCGAGCAGTAATGTGAGTTAGCCAGAAAAGGACTTTCTGTGGCACAGGCACATCATTTCAGAAAAAAGTGCCAAAGTCCTCCAGCACACTCAAAACCAGGTCAGAAGCACAAAATGTGTTTAGATCAATGACTCAGAAGACAGACTTCCTCTGTGCCAGGGTACCCTCTCATAATCAGAAGCAGGCACATATTCAAGAGAGTCTTTCTGCTTTCTGGCTCAACACAACCACTCCATAACAAATCTGGGTGGCCACAGGAGGTCACACATCAGAGCTCTGTTCCACAGCAGAAAAGGAAATATTTTGCATTCTTGTGTTTCTGTTTCAAGTGAAAGGTGACTGATAAGAAATCTCCATAATACATTTATTATCAAATGTTCAATACATAGGGATTCCTTGGGATTTACAAAAAATCATTATTTGAAACTAAAAATAACACTGGTACTAAGGGGACTGTACAGTTTCAGTACATGAGTGATTCAAAACCACCTCAACTTAGCTCACACAGTATCTAAACAGAGATACACTGAGACCTAAACTTTAAACAACAAACTTCACAAAAAACCCACCATGATTACTGTGAAAATTTTCCTTCCATACAAAGAAAAAGCCCCCAAAGCAAACCAGCTAAATGTCAAGCCCCCAAACATGATGTGCCTCCTTCCCTTGCATTACAGTTGAACCAGGTGCACAAGTTTCTGTTGCTACCTCAGAAGTCTTGCAGATGGCCAGACCCTGTTACACTAATCTTAGAAATTACAACTTCAAAAGTATGTAAGATAGGTGTGTATCTTTTATGTTTATGGAAACTCTTGAAAGGGAAAGTCTGGCCACCAGAAAAAAACCCAAAAAACAACACAGCTGCAAAAGAAAAACAAAGGCTCACCTGGGCTCACAGATTAATAATTTACCTTCTGTCCTCTTTGGTTTGCAATGTATTGCTTGAAATAAAGAGAACATCACTGCCTTACCTTATTCATCCTCCCCCAGTCAATCAGTAACTTTTTCTTCTTTTACTTAAGTTGACCTTGAGGTTAATTTTCACAAAAATATGAAGTACTTTCAAAAATGTTGCTTTAGGCTGCCCTTAGAGAGATCAACTTTTTGCAGAGTACATTCTTTCTGTCCATCCACTTCTAGCACATCTAAATTCCCCACTGCCCAGACTAAGGATCCACTCCAAAAGAAGTCTGTTTGTATTTCTTACAATTTTCATACTGTTTTTATTCCTACTACCAAACAATAAAAGAAGGGCATGTGACAGGAAACAGCATTTTCTGCCAGAAGTAGATGTTTATCTTTTAGCTGTGATGACCAAACTTTTGCCTGCCTGTTCAGAACCCACCAAAGCCAAGCCTAACAAGCATTTTCTGTAGAAAAAGCTCACTCAGCTGCTTATGTTGTGTTTTAAAAGATGACCAAAATACATGGGACTTCAAAACTCTCTTAAAACACAATTTAAGGTTTGTTATGGTCACAATCTGTGATGCTGATGATGAGGCTCCCCAGCCAAAACACTGACACCACAATTTTCAACAGAGCTTTCAGGTGAGGAAGGTTCTGGTCCACAATTTCCTTGACACTTGTTTTAAGCAAGTACAGGAAATCAGCCAAAGCTGAGCCCTCTTTGCACCTGGAGACATTTTGTAACCAGCCAGCACTTAATAAAATACCCAGAGACTGCCATAGAGATACATTTAAAATATATGTATATATAAATATAAAATATATTTATATAGTTTATATGTGTAATAAAAACATATGGGTTGAAAAACTGTATGTATCATGTATTGCTAAGTCACTGGTGGTATCCATCAGCACACCAGACAGGAAGGAAAACCAAATAATATGCCATAAAAGTTTCTCAGCCTCTGAAGCTGAGAGGGAAATTAGTTTTCTGTGAGATCTCATTAATAGATGGGCCAAAGTGGGAAAGAGCAAACACAAGAAGAAAGGAACAAGGGCTGAAAGAAGGATGTACTCAGAGCTGCAGTGCTGTTCTGCTTTTACACAATTTGGCCTCTTCACTAAAAACAAGGGGTGCCCAATTCAGTGCTGCTGGAAGAGAGAGAATCCAAAATTGTTAAAAATACAGCAAAACTCTTTGAATGATATAGAGACAAGATGAAGTGAGAATTAATAGAAGAAAATTACTTTTCTGTGTGCTTCAGTTCTTGCAGAGAGATTTTATCCTGACATCCTGAAGAGCTCCATCCTTCAACAGCATATTAAAAACATTTATCTGCCTGACTTGCTCTGTGGAGGGGCTGCAGCCACAGTGTTTTGAAATGGAGGCAAGAAGGTCCCAGAATTCATCTTTCTTGGCAGAACTCAGAATTCAGTTGATATGACCTCAATTTGGCACAGGATTTTGTTTCATAAAACCTTCAGAAAATTAACATACCACATTTATTTTAATGACATATTGCTGCACAAACATGAAGTTATGCACAGCTGTGGTACCTATGACTATCAAACAAATTATGAGCAACATAACAAATTAAACAGAAGCCAAGAAGAGCCACCCAAATACTGCTTGACTATTTGCAAGAATCCTTTGTGTAGCAACAGGAAAATGCTGGAGTAAATGTCACAAAAAACAAAAATAATGTCTTTTGCTCTGGCATAGTTTCATGAAATGGGTTACATCTGCTGCAACAACAACTCAAGAGTCACATTTAGACCTGTCTTCACTAGTTCAGGAATCTAGCTGCTTAGAATGACAATAAGAAATACACGTACAAAAGCAACCAAATTCTTCCACAAGGTTGTCAAATTAAGACAGAAGTGACAGAATCTATCCTACAATGCTTTGCCAATTTTAGTTTATGACAGTTAAAAGCATTTTCTTCCATGACACTTCTGTATGAGTAAAAGCCTTCAATAAAAAAATGGAACTTAAACAGAAATTCTTCTGCTTGAAAAACTGATAGTGATTTGGTGGTGCTGATAATCTGTATGATTATTTCCACATGAAACAAACCTAAACCAAACCCATCTCTACCCACCCAGATTCTCAACTGTGTGTTTAGTATGGTTTCACCAACCCTGGCCAAAGGAAGCTTCAGGACAAACTTCCTCCATGAGAATCACTTCTCATTCCCCCTTCTAGACAAAGGCAAGTGACTCCTGCCAGCTGCTGCTCAGCCCCTCTGCACAGTAGGGAGACAGGAGCCTCTGCTGAGCAACTCTGAGCACACAGCCCCAGCAGGGCTGCCTGCCTCAGTGCTAATGGAAATGTTCCATCCAGTGACCAAGCACTGCTTCTTCACTTGAGCCACAGGGGTTTGGCCTTGTCTAATCCCTCGCAGCAGCAGCAGCTCACACAGACAGCACCTGAGCAATGAGATGAACTTTTGCACAACACCCATCCATCAGCATTTTGCTCCTTTGTGCAAGTAACGTGTTTTGGCAACTAAGGGCTGTGATTTAAAGGTTTTGCAAGGAGGAAAAGAAGGAAGTGTGTTTACTTAGTGGTCTCTGCAGTTCTGCAGGCTGTTTGTTTTTCTGCTGAGGTAGCAAGTGCTTGAATAAGCCTTGTAGCAAACTGAAAGTGTCAAAAGTTTTGCCTTCCAATAACAACCACGTGTTCCCTTTTTAAAGCCTGGGACACAATAAAAGAAAAACTTAAGCTATTTTTTACTAATGATGTCTGTTTGTCTTTCTGAAACATTTTAACATTGCCTGAAGTTTCTTTTTGAGAGCCTAGGTTTTAGGAAAGCTACAGGACAATTAGCCAACCTTTGTTTATTCAAGTTCATTTACTGAAGTGTCTTGGGCCAATACAGGATGAGCATCCACTGATGAAAGTCTTCACTCCCAGGAGACTCAGCAGCTGCCAGCACATGTGAACATTTCCCCAGCCCAGCTTGTTTGGAACTAGTCCTACACCCAGCCTCAGCAAGGGAACTTGGTCCCATCCCTGAGGTCCATCCAAGTGCAATTTTGTCTCCAACACACCTCTCTCCCAGTCACACTGAGTTTAGAAGTGAATTTAAAACAACAGAAGCTTTACATAACACACATGAACTTTTCTTTCTTTAAGCAGCAGCTAAAAAAAAAAACACCTTAAAACCTTACAGGCTTTCTTTGGCACACATTTAATAAACTTCCTCAGTTCTCCAGTCTCTCACACTATGCTTCACTAAGCCATGTACATATATTTCTTAGAATTCTGTTTGCTTATCTGTATCTGATTATACTAAAGGAAGCTTCCAAACAGGATTTCTGAAAGTTTAGTTTGAAGTAAGCCTAATGTTTTTCCACAGCTTAGAAAGAGAGAATGAAAAATTTCTCTTCAGAAATAAAGGCCAAGTCACAGTGGAACAAAACCACTGTTGTTCATAATTTTTTTTTCTGAAAAGACAGTGGAAAATTCAGAAATCAAGTTCTTCAGACTTCTTACCTTATCACCTTTTTCCCCTGATTTCTTCTTCTTAGGAGTATCCTTCCAAAGAGCTTCTACAGCAATATATCCTTGAAGACTCCATTCATACAGCTGTGTGCCAGCAACCTTTGAAACAAAAGTTTTTAGAAGGCATGAACTTAATAATCTGGGGAATATTGCCTTGCTTCTTATTTAAGTGGAAAAAGTCTCATAACACAAGATGTTTAACTCTTCCTGCTCAAGCTCACAATGTACAGAATTAATAAACATCTTGGAAAATAATGTCCCATGAGGAATAAGAAAAAATAATGTGCTAAAAACCTAAAAGTATACATCTGTACAAACAGGAGTGGAATGCTTCTGTGTGGAAACAATCCCTGTTTTCTTAGTATTTAACATTCAACATAATTAATATAGGCAAAGTATTTCTTAGTTTGACCAGACTCATTTTCAAAGACTCTTCTAAGGGTTGTCATTGTTTTGCAATTTTAGATTTTATTCTCGTTTTTTTAGAATTTGCTGATAGATGAATGTTATGAATAACCAGCTGTCAACTCCCAAAACAGTACACAGCTAGGAAAGACTCTTTGCTGTATTACACCAGCAAGTATTTTATGTCAGGGAAAGGCCCAAAGTCTAATAAAACAGTATCCCTTGTCCCTTATGTACATGGAATTGTAGTATTTATAGCACCCTTTAAAACTAAAGAGTGTTAGGTTTTTATAGCCAGGCTCAGGTCTATACTGACTTTCACATCACTATCTGTTTCTGTAAGAGGAACAGCACAAAGGACAATTTGTCCAACTAAACAGCTATTAAACTAAAAAAGCTTAGGAAATCAAGAACTAAGAAGGTATTTCCCTATCTCCTACAGCAGGCAAAGCCACAAAATGTAAACTCTGAGAATAGGGCAACTGTAAATGTTTCTGAAACAATTTTCTGATGTTTCTGAACTACATTTTTCAGTTTCTTCCAGTCTCCATCAATTCAGAGACAGTTCAAAGACTTCCTGAGCCAGAAGTGATTTTTATGTGTGTAAAGAGGCCCAAGGAATTTCCCTTCTATGAACTTTTTGCATGGAGTTCAAGGGGAAGTGCAGATTTTTAGCACCCCTGTGCCAAGTGGTTCTGCTGCTGGGTACCCGTGGTGTGAGGAGCCACTTCCCCTCGTTTGTGTGATGTGTAATCAGCAAGGCTGATTACAGCAGCTCCTGCACAATGGTACAAGGATGTGTGCTGGCTACCTTACAAGGGAGCCTATTGAATCATCAGAATTAAAAGAAAACAAACCCAAATCAGCAACTACACTTCCAAGTCACAACTACATCCAAAATGTTTTAAATACAAAGTGTCCTTTTGTCACCATATCTGACCAATGATTTTGGTTTAAACAAGTCCATTGGATGCACTCAGTTTTCTCTATAGCTGAAAGTGATAAGAGTTATCAGAAAAAAGCATATCAAGTGATCCAGTTGAATCTCCAAAACTGCCCAATTTACATATTTTAGGTATAGACAGTTATTTTGGTTTTCAGTATCATAAGTGTTCATTCTGTGGCATCTAGCAGTTCAACAAATCAGCTGGCTCATCTGAAAAAATGGTGGTCACTTGTGCAAACAGTACAAACCTACCACTGAAAAACATCTGAAAAATAATCACAATAAACAAAGTGCTGGTTTTGTCTGCAATATCAATGCAGACACAGCTCCCAACATAAAATGAGAAAAAACAACTGTCCTTAAGCTATATTTTTGTTTCTGATTAAAAATACTCCATTAAAATATTTAAAACCACACTAAATCCCCAACAGTACAAACTTATTTCTTATAGTCATATAAGGAGTCACATGACCAAGTGATTTATGCATTGCATTAGATGAGAAACTGGTCATTGATGCTGCTGGATTAAGTAGCTCCATCACAAGGTACAGCAGCCCAGACAGTTCAGTCTGCCAAAACCAACCAATGTTTCACCATGGCACAAACCTCCCAAGAGCCAGGACCCACAGACACTTCCACAGCTGGGAAATGCAGTTCTAGGCAGACTGGAAGTGCAAGCTGCAAAGCCAACAAGCTAAAACACCAGTGCTGCTGAATGCAGCACTGTGAGCAGGTTTGTAGCTGAAGTTTGAACAAACGAGTTCAAAAGTCAGATTGAGTGGCTCTCAACAGGGATTCTGAAAGTTTGAGGTGGCCATGGCCACCAGCACCCACTCTGGGCACTCCTGGGGTGGCACCAGGGCTCTCCAAGGCCTAAGGTGGCACACAGCACCCTGAGCATGCATTACTGACCACACTGGTGTCACACAGTCACACATTCAGAGCCTTGATCAGCAATTCTTTATCTATATACTGAAACTACAAACTGAGACTGCACTGCTTTTCCTGCACTTACAAAATGCCATTTCAGGAGCACTGAGCAGCCCCCATGGATGAAGGGACCCCAGGCCCTGCTTACAGCTCACAGCTCCCTGTGAGGAGCCCTGTCCTGCTCTCAGCACAGCTGGTTATGCCTCACAGACTGAACCCAGCAAGGCACAAGGAACAGGTTCAAAAGACACAGAAATAACGTGGTTTGCTGTCAAAGAAACAAAGCTCTATTGGGAAACTTTTCTTTCTTTCTAGAAGAACAAAAGCATAACACACAGTACTTTAGTAAAATTGAAAGGTTCTAATAACAAAGGACAAAATTTAATTCCAATTATAGAGTTATTTAAATAACTGCATAATGGAAAGTTCTTTCCAGCTGGAATATAAGCCACAGTAAATACAAAGTATTTTGAGTATATTATGATTAGCTGGAAAGCAATAACATTTCAAAACACTAAGTAGGGTTCCACCAGAATAAAATAAGCTTTAGTATTAAATTTAGTTCCATACCACATATACAGTCTGTCCTTTTGTTCAAAGTTATTAAAAATATAGTAATACTGGCAGTGAGGAAATAAATCCCTTACAAATTTGTGATTTATTAAAATGTGATCTATTATTTATTACATTATTTCCTAAAGCAGGGAAAAAATAATAGTCTATGAATTTGTTCCATCTTCAATTAGATGATCAGCGTCTGAAAACTCCCTGTTACCAATGATGAGCTCTGTTGCTACAACTTCACTTAAGGAATTCATACATCTTAATTAAAGAAAAATTTTTACCTAAGATGATTTAAGGGTTGGGCCTCAATTACAAATACCCTTTGCTGTGTTTATTTCCAACTCTCCACTAGAAAGTCTGAAATAAAGGTGGGACAGAAACAAAACCCCCACAAACTTAAAAAAAAACAAAAACAACACAATACCCAGTGAAGGGAATTATACAAGTGTAAAAGAAAAAGCAATGATGAAGTACTTAAGTGTGGAAGAAAAATAAAAAGAATATAATATAAAAAATAATTTAAATTTATGTTACAGAATATTTTCTATATTGTTTCATGAACTTAGCAAGTGAGCTTTGTACTGCAGGCATTCCTTTCTAGCTTTACAGACATTTTTTGAAAGGCTTATGAAGCATTTAAAAATAATTAATAGACAGGAAAGTGTTTCCAATTTCAGATTAAAGCCTAAAAATTATGGATGGTAAGATGTGATATGCTTACAACTTTGCTTTTTTAAGAAAAGAAAGCACAAGATACATTAGAGGAACCAAAACAGTATCTGGGATATTACTCTCCCCACAGAAGTTTCCAAATTCAGGTCTACTGTCCTGACCAAGTCAACAAAGCTAAACCCATTCCAATCTCCTATCAGATTTTTCATTACAGTCAAACTAAGAACTGTGAATTAATCAAAGAGCAACCATGCACTTCAAAGTTCTCATAAAATAAACTAGGTATTGTGAAGCTGTTAGCACCAAATCCACAGTTAAGCCTGAACTGAGCTTCTTTAAAAACAGTAACATCAGTTTGAACAGCGTTCAATCACTTCCCACCTCACTGTTCAGAAGGCAAGCAGAATTTTAATACACAGTTTCCAACAGAAATGTCTAAGCTTCTTAAGTTTTGATGGGTCTTTTTCCTGCCACTTGCATAATTTTTACTCTCTGAGAATAAGCCAAGAGAATTATCTGTATTTAGAGCATCTGAATCCTGGAAGCAGTAAAAAAAGATTCCACCAAAGATCAGAGTACCACCATGCTGGCAGAGCTCAAACTCAGCAGTTTTGACTCTCTCTAAGTCAATGACCTTTCAGTTTTTAAAGAACATTATGTGTTCTTGAGAATATCATTTTACCATTCTGACATCTCAGTGTTATTCACAAGTGGCCAGTACCTAGATGGCAAATTTACCAAAGGCTGAAATAGAAAGAATTTGTGAAAGATGCAGGTATGTGCACTGTGAGTGGTTAAGGGCTGGATATGAAGCACAGTGTGGTGGGGAACTGAGGAATGTGCCAGCACTAAGTGTGGACAGAAAGGCACATGATCTAACATCAGTAAGGGCTGTGAGCAATTCTGTGCTCTCCTCAGTTCTGTCTCTAACAGGAACTCATTTCAGCAACTGCAAGTTAACAAGTTTCTTGTGTGCCTGAAACAACAAATCCATAAATAGGGAAGGCATCCAGTAAGTTTGCAGCAGAATTCTCACCCTGTTCCAGAATGTGCATGCTATCTTTCTTAAAGCCCCAACAAAAAAAAGGCAGAAAATGTCAATAACATTTATCTCAAAATGTTATGATGACTTGTCTATAGAAACTCCTTTTTCTTCTTTCAAAGTTTTCATTTGCTCACAAGATATTTCATGTTTCCTTAGAGTTGTAAGTAAACACAGAAACTGTACTCACTTAGCATATTTATGTTAATTTAGTATTACATGAGGTTAGAGGTTTTGAAAGGAAATTACATTCCTCTAACTGAAGACACTACTGCAGAGGTTAGGAAAAAAAAGTCACTAAAAGGAACAAGTCTGATTATCTTTCAGCCCAGACTGCATCTGCTTTGACAAATTAACAGTAATATTGTTAATTGCCACTGACATGGCTTTTAAACATGGATGACCAGTTAATCTGAAGCCAGGAGGCAACAAAGAGAGACTTCTGCAAAGAAAAGAATCATCACTGACCTTTGCAATAGCAACTGCTTCCTGAGGGTAATACATGGAGGTACCCATACCCATGAGAGCTGCAGGATACACCAACTTCTTTATTTTTGAGCCTGTTTTGTAACAAAAAATCAAAAACCACAAACCATTGATAGAGTATATGTTAGCCAAGCCAGCTGAATGCCCCTATTTTATTTATAAACAATAAATACATTTCTTAATACATTTAATACATGTTCTTAAATACATTTTAGTGTATTTTCTTTTCCATCCTACCAGTTCCTTAAGAAACATAATCACTGATCAGTAGGGGCCCCCCTAGTAGTTTGCTAAACTTTTTAAGCTTCACTAAGATCATATCTTAGATTGGTTGTGCACATAAATTCCTTTGGACATGAACTGCTGACCAAGTCTGGGACTAGGACTGCACATATCCAGGCTCCTCTGAGTAGGAGTCTATAAGGAAAGTCTCTGAATGCTGTGACTCAAGAGGAGGATCCTCCCCAGACAGGTCAGTCTGACCCTGTCCTCTATGCAGGAACAGATCAAGTTGCCATCAAATCCTTTCAAACCATTGCTTTGTATCAATAATCACATTGCTGCTGCTCTCTTGCAAGTGAAGTGCATCACTCCATCTGCAACACGAGTTAAATCCAATTATCTCTAATGGCATTTTAAACCAAGCTGGACGACTGCACAATATTCACATGGTTAAACTTTGAATACCATATTTTCTACTTAGTGAGCAGCTGTGCATATTCCAGTGCTATGATTAGACCTGGAGGATTTTATCTGTACCTTCCAAGAGGGCAATTTCTCCACAAAGATCAAGGAAAGGAAGAATAAAATAAAGAGGATTTTCAGTAACATCAAAATTAAGGGGCACTTCCTTCTATGGTTTGAATACTTTCTGGAAATAAAATTCATATTTTAAACTATTAACAGAAAAAAAAAAGTTTTAAAATTATGGCTCCCATCCTAAAAGATTCACAAATGTAACATTTTTAGTATGAGGTATTTTCATTTTCATTAAACTTAGGATCCTCTAATCTTTCAATTCCAGTCCCAAGACTGCACTCTCCCCTCACTTTTCTACAGTTATAAATGATGGAAGCTAATTTCATTCATGATCACACTGCTTGAGAAGCAGGAATACAAAGAAAAAGAACTTCAAACAGGGAAGTTACCTTGACTTCATTAGAAAAAATACACAAGGAAAAAAAAGTGAAGTACTGCTCTCACCAGCTTCACTGGAAAATTCAGTAGCTGGAGGTGCACTTCTAATTTCTACACAGCCAATCACACACTTCCAGTTCAACACATTCAGGCCCCACAAAGGTTTATTTTTGTTCAAACCATGTTCTCACTGCTATTTAAATTCTACAGCTTTAAAGTTCTGTTACCTACATTTCACTGCATTAAGAATATCTTAATGTAAGCACAAAATACTTGTTCATACTTAACATTTCTTACACTAAAATGTATTTATGAAGGCACAAGCATGTGATGAAATTAACTGTATCATTTTTCTGTAGTGCAGGTATTTACAGCACACTCACAGTTCACCAATCTATTTGCTGAATCACAATCTGCAGCATCTCTGCAAGTCAACACACAATACTTTGAAAAAACTTGAATATACCCCTGATTGGACACATACCATAGTTCAGGAACATCTGTATTTTACCATAACTCATTCCACAGTTGTTTTCTACAGTAACAGATGTGATGAAGAACTTCAATAATTAAAAATATTTTTAGGCTAAAAGATACCAAACCAGTCCTTTGCCATTTTTGTAATACTAAAATACTACTTGGGAAAATGGAAGACTACATTTTAGTAACAAATACAGCAATGATAAAACAAAAATTGTTGGTTATTAAACACCTTTTCCATGCAGTTTCTTTATAAGGAATAGTGCAGAAACATGTTTGTAACAGTTAATTCAGATCTCCTTGTCACAACTAAAAATCAGTACCCTAAAACCCACAAAAAATTACTTACCCAAAAGTGTAACTTAACCAGTCCTATGGTTTCCACTTACCTCTAGCAAGAAACAATCCAATAATTCCAGCAAAACTTATCACACCAAGCCGTGGATAAAATCCAGCAGGAGGTTTTTGGAGAAATTCATAGCCCTCTGAAAAGAAGCCAGAACAAAGTGCTTTAATGTAATGTGAAAGTGTTTTTGTGATAAGGAATCATCAATACACACTGGCAATTGTTACAAAACACAAAGAGTTATCAAAACACATTTAACTATCATGCTCATTTTAGATATGCTGGCAAAAAATTCAAAGCCTTTGAGTTCTTCTCTAGTGACACATGAATGAAACTGAATATTGTATTGTATTCACCAATTTTCACAGGAGCTTTGCCTTTGCTCCTGGGCCATCTGTTTTGTTTTGCTCTTTGCATCTCAATCGTATCTTTTTCAAATTACCAATAAAAACCTTTGCAAAATGGAATTTCACAGTTACACCTTAAGAATAACTAGTTTCAGTAAAATACTGTACAAAAACCAAACCAGAGAACAATGCAAAGACACAGCAAAAACAAAGTGCACTCTAAGATGGGAGTCTGGTGGGGGAATGGAAAACTATGGAAAATCTTCCATACTAATGAGTTCAGAAGACTGAAACTGCTAAGTTTAAAGAAAAGAGGTGCAGTATCTGAAATGAGCTCTACATAGAATCCATCCTCAGTCCTGGAAAACCCAAGTGTGAAAGGATGATCCCAAAAATAAAAACTAATTAAAGTTATTTTGGATTAATTCAAAATTCTTAGGAGATCCATGGAAGCAAACCAAAATGAAAAGGCTAAACACTACAGACAAAAGACTTAATGCTTGCAACAAATAATAAACTCTCCAGGAGGTTTCAGCTACTAAGCTGGGTCAAGCAAATACTGCTGGCTGGGAAAAAATGGTGAGGGGCTTTCCCCTTCTCCTCCTGCATAACTAATTTTTAGTGACATTGATAAACATAAGTGCTGCTCTCAGATTTTAATTGCTTAGAAATGTAGTGTCATAAGTGACCCACAAAGGAAATTCAAACAGATACACAGTGGAAATAAATTAGTCTTAAATGCATTAGAAATTATACATACAATGATGCTTAATGGAATTCTCTGTAAACTGAAGAAACAGTACAGTCCTGCATTTTAAATTGCTAGTTAAGAAAACTAAGCTGATTTACCTCTACCATGCTCAACAGCTTTTTCTAACTTGGGCACAGCTTTGGCATAAAGATCCTAAAAAAAAAGAGAACAAGGGTAAATAGACATAGCAAGTAGGTAAAATATTAACTATAGACTGTAACTGAGCTGAAAAAGAAAGGAGAAATAAAAACAACAAGAAAGAAAAAAGTGATGGGTCCCTAATATACCTTTCATTCCCGCTTCCACCCATCACTTATAGGGCTATGCTTGTTCAATGTTACATTTAGCATAACTTACAGATTCTTCTCAAAGGACTCTTCAGAGAGAGATAAAATACAGTACTTCAAAACACAGACAGCAATCTCAGTATTTATTGAGATCAGGCAACTGAAACTCAGAATTATCTTGGGTTTCTCAGTGTATGCAGGTATTGCAAAAATACTTGAGGTGATGCAAAGAAAGAAGTACAACGCTGCAATCAAAGGGGTATGTGACTCATTCTGCAAGGTGATAAATTCCACTTTCCAGGAGACTGTCTTACACTAACAAGACTGCATTTGGAAGTGACTTGGAAAATTAGATGTTCATAGATCTCCAAAGCAAATTAAAGACACTGGATCAACCCCATAGACCAGTTCTACATTTTTTTCAGACTGAGAATATTCAGGAAATAAACGAAAGCACATTGTCTTTTATCCAAATTAAAAAAAAACTCAATAAAAAGAAACCTGCTGATTGTGATTTACACTAATAATGCTTTAGAGGAACAGTGTAAGGCTGTATACAAATTTGAGATCAAATTCTTAAACATATATGCCCAAAGCTAAAGCAGAGGATAGTCTTAAAATTCTACCTGAGCTGCACCTGTGCAGAAGTGAAAGCATTTGTTTAGGATATTGTATGGAGATATCTTTTGAACTTTCATCTCCTCACTGGCAAGACTGATGTAAAAAAACCCACCCAGCATGAAAATGAAAAAGTGTTAGCACGTGACACACAACATAACTTTAAATGGATGTTGGTGTTATTAAAAGACAATTTAAGAAGAACTTGCTCTAAAGATCCCAAAGACAAAGTCTGGTCTGTCATAACTGAAATATAACTGGCTCATTTCTACATCTGAGGTTTGAGCTGCATTCCCACTACAGTAAAGTAATTTTGGAAAAGTAAAATGGATATACAAACATAACCAATTTCCTTCTGATTATCCTGGGTTATCTGTTTGATTTTAAAGACAACTGAGACACACCTAATTACTATTTTCTTCAACATAGCAGGGATGAGCAGGGGGTGTAAAACCAAAGCTGACTACAGTTAAGCAATATTGCCCAAACCCATAAAGTTTACATGCCCACTTCATAAAATGAGTCAGTAAACCACTGCCAGGAAATGGCTTCTTGTGTGTGAGCAGAAGAGCACATCTTATGTCAATGATCACCAGACAGACAAAAAAAATAAAACCAACAGGATGCCAACAGGTCAGCGAGACACCCAGCAAGGTTAAAGGCCAACTTCCTCTGCAATTTCACTGCCAGTCAGGGCTGCCACAGGCAACCAAGCAAACCCATGTGCTCAGGAGCCAGAGCCCTGACTATCCTAAGGAAACCCCTTCCCCTGCCATAGGGCTCTGCTGGGGGCACTTGAAACACCAGACTGAGGAACCCTGAAAAAAATGTTTCAGTCCTGTGAAAGGCAGCACCACACAGAAGTTGCAGGCAGAAAGGACAGCCCAATCTCAATGTGAACAGTTTGGCTTTCAGTGGAGAGCTGGGCACAGAGCTGGCAGCTCAAGGGGATTCACAGCAGGCAGAGGGCAAAGCACAGGATTACCCACAGCTGCCCAGAGACAGCCACAGGGCAAAGATTCCCCCATTTCAAAAGAAGCCTCAACATTTCCTGGGCAGGGAAGAGCAAGAAAGCTCTCCTGGGGCTTTGCAACCTAACACCAACAATTTAGGCCTTGATCACAAAAATCTTGGTTTTCCTCTCTGCTACAGAGCCTATTTTTGTATTTAATGACTATTTACTCTAAGCAGACTACCTAATAAAATATATATGAGAAAGTTCTGGGGCAAGGCCTGAGGATTAGGTTTACCAGTACTTAGTGGCCTGGGATTTTCTCTCTTCCAGAGAGCTGCATTCCTTCCCTCAACATTCCAGTTCAGCTAATACTGATTTATTTTTTGCTAAGTTGTGTTTTGTCATAGTTGCAGCAAGGGCAACTTGGTTTTGCTGCTCCAAAACACATTGCTTGATAATTTAAGGCCTCCTTGAGCATGAAAACTGTAAATACCACTCTCCTGTCTTCCTAACAGTGCCAAATCCAGACATCCCTAGGTATATTTAAGCCTAAAGTTCACTTCAGAAAACAATTCTATGCTTTAGTTAATTTTAATTCTTTTGGAAGGGGAACCCCTAAACCCAGGGTTTAGTTCAGCAAATTAGTATAAAGACACAACAGGTTCTGTGTGAGAAGGGGGTGAACATTATGACCTGAACTTTGGAAAATTTTAAGCAATGCAGAAAACTTTCAGTGGTGGCACATTTTTGAAAAATGCTGTTAACAGCTATCAGCTCTTACTTTGCTGCTACCTGTTCATTCCAAGTCAGAAAAAACAAACCAGAATCCCAGGAACTTTACCCCTGAAGCATCAGGGGTGCAATACAAACCATTGTACCTGACACCAGGCTGTGTATGGCTCCAAAACCTGCCGCAAACGGGAAACCCCCTCCTCCAATTCTGTTTTGGGATTCTCCACATATTTCGTCTCACGAGCTGGGGAGGAGTACAGTGACAGCTGTGAATATTAGCAAACAAGATGTTAAAAACAAAGGTGGAATTGTGTAAGTAGGTCTTCAGGGCATGAACAGTCTAAGCAAAGAACACCTAACACTGTGCTTACTACATAAACAATGCATAATAAAAATTCACACAGCTCTGAGACAACCATTATGAGCAAAGTTTAATTATACAGCACATAATTATGATGAAGATGACTTCTAACTGCTACAATTCATTCATAGCTGCTATATGATCCAAGTCACAAGTTATAAATTAATATTAAAGTAGTTTAATAAGAACACACAACATAATTGTGAAAAATGTTTCCCACCTTAATCAGCACTTCTGGTTCCCAGTTAACATACTGAATGCACTAGAAATGACAATCAATCATTTTCTATGTATGCACAAGGCATCATTAAAGAGCCTAAGTAGCTTCTAACAAAGGTAACATCCAACACACGTGTGTCTGTTTGTGACTGAGCAGGAAAAGGGTCCAACACCCCAACCTTTGGTCATAACCACATCAGCAACTGACAACATTCATGTACCCTGGCACTGAGCAAAGAGGAACTGTAATGAGCAATGGGCACCTTCACATAATAAAGGCCAAACCACTCTGGTTAGGGTTTACAATCACCACAACATGTACTACAATTACCTAAGCATATTTGAAACTGTATTCCATTAAAAAAAACCCTGAGTTTATACTGTTGAACAGCAAATCTCAGAACAAAAAAACCTATTAAAATTTCTAGCAGCTTATATACTACACAGATGTTCAGTATAAAGAGCTTATATTTTGCACCATATTTACACTCCATTTAGTAGTTTATTATAATCTGATGATTACAAGTATTGCTGTATTAAAATGTAGCCAGCTCTCTTTTCAAGATCAGCTGTGTTGTAATTTAAAAAGCTGCTAACCATAACATAATACAAAATTACAACAAATTTATCCAATAATTTGGTAACTTGTGCAGCTGGATTTCCCATAATACTTTGAAAGATGAGGATTTTCAGCCTCACTTCCTAGGAAACCAGGTCATCCCTGGCAATCACACTCACAAGCTGAACTTTGATCCTGTTGGGCAACCTAACAGCAATGCCTGGCACGAGGACAGAAATAAGGAAATTCCCATATATTTTATGAAACTAGACAGCTGACACATAGAGATCCAAACTAAGAGCCTGTGAATGGCAAGAAAGGCAGCCAGAAGTCCATGGCTTGCACATTCTGCTGAGCTGGAGCTGATGGCAAGCCCATTACTCACTGCCATGAGCTCCATGCTGCTGCCTCAGGGCTGACTCAGGCCAGCAGAGACTCCCAGGACCCCCTGCAAGTGCAGCTCCTCTCTCTGCTCAAGGGAACTGCCAGCCCCAGCACCTGGGAGTGCACAGCACAGCCTGGTTCAGTTCCAGTGCTTATGGGACAACGCTTTGGGTTCGGTTGAAGTACCCAAAACTTTTAAACAACTGCATGCTCTCATGCCTATAAAGGTGGATTTGGTTATGAACTACTTATTTTGATTTTTTTAGTGTTGGAGACTTTTAAAAGCCTGTGTAACAGTGCTGCTGAGTCTACAGTTTGACAGGGTATTTTAAGGCTCTACTTATAACCAAGACATTTGTAACAACCTGAAGAAATGAAAACATAACAGGTATTACCACTACTTATTGTATTTGTTGTTGCTTAGGTCTGAATACTGTGAAGAAAGGAAAACTGAAAAAATTCTGCAGGCTACTACGGTGGATTCAAAGTATTGCCAGACAAGAATTTAGATATTTAAAAAAGAGAATATTTTTAGAAATAAAACATTCTGGTTCACTGTTTTAGAGGAGAACATAAATGAATTTTTATTAGAATTTACCAACACTATTTACAGTAAAAAGTAAGAGCTATTATCTGGGTAAAAAGCAAAGAAAATATTCCTGTGGACTTGAAATATAACCATAAGTAAATCTATAAACATGAAAATATATTTTCTGAATGAAGACTAACAGGCTTTAATGTAGGAAAATATTTTACACACAGCAAGCCTGGCCCTATCAAGTAAAGAACATCAAATGCCATGCTCAGGTAAAAGCAAAACTGTACAGACATCTCTGTTGAGGACAACTGAGAAGCAAATTTAAAGGCACAAATACAAAAGGTGACAGGATGTACCTAAATGCTTTCATACATCAAAACACAATGTTTCCAGAATTCTTTAGATAGGAGAGCACTAAGACTCTAACCACACTCACCTCCTCAATTTTCAGCGACTCCTTCTTGGAAGCCTTCTCTGAGGAAGCAGCATAAACCTGGACAGAGAGCAAGCCCAGGCTGACAGGGGCGGCCCCCAGCCGGATTACCTGGAAACAACACCAAGGACAAGAACATCACTGTGTGCAAACAAAACTGCAACGTGCCTGAACACAGCCAGGCAGACAATGTTTATGTCCCCTATATGGTAAAAAGGGATCTCAAGAGATGCCTGGAAATTAGGAGAAAGGAGGGTCAGCAGTACACAATCTAATGCTCTCGGGCACTGACATGGTAACATCTAAATCACTCAGGTGGTAATTGGGAAAGCCTAAGGCTAAAGGGGGCAGTAGAAATAAATGCTAACCTCATCAGTTTTCATCTCACAAAAAAGATCTTGTTTTCTCTAGTTTAAAATAATTTTTGTATTAACTTTCTCAGTTTAAATAGCAAGATTATATTCATATTTTAAACAACTTTGCGTATGCCCATAATACCTCAATTTTTCCATAGTTAGTACCAAGAAGTTCAGTGTTTTACTTCTACTTAATATCTGCACATAGACTTAGGAAAACAAGGAGACCTGCAGCTGTAAATACCAGAACAAAATCAATACTTTCTAAAAATTTTAGGAGTGTCTCCTACTTTCTGTAAGAAACATGAATTACTTGACTGTTTTTGAATACTTTAAATTCAATCCAACCACACCACACAACCACCATGACTAAGGTGGATGGATATAGCTCTTCCAATATTCAGGACCTATGCTAAACTGAATTTCTTAATGGGAAAGTCTGCTTCAACTTAAAAAAAAAAAAAAGAAGAAAAAAAATCTTAGCTCCAGAGTAAATCAAGATGCCCAGAGAGCATTTTCCAGCAAATGCACATCTTTGTTAGCAGCAAAGTATAACTCCAGAAACATCAGTTGAAATGGGAAAGCTTTCAATGTCTCCTACTCCTGTTACCGCTCAGGGAAACGTGCAGAGTTACATCAGCCTGTGTTTTGCTGGATCAGGTTACAGCTGCAGTGGGTCTGACACCGAACTGGAGGTGCCTGGCTCCTCTCCAGCACTGCTGCCCAGCAGTCCTGCTGCTCACCTTGCCCTAGCTGTGCTGGCTGGAGGCTCCCACCGCCAGGGAATTCACCTGGCCACAAAGATTCACCCTGCAGGAGAAGGGAGAGCTTTGTGCAGGTCAGCAAACACAGCCCTTCCTCCCGTGGAACAGCCTGGCAAGCACCACAGGAGCTGTGGGGACAGGGCTCAGAAAGGAGAAGGCAGCAAGGCCTCTTCCTTTTGTGAAAAATCCATGTATTTTATAATTGGCTTTTCGCAAATATTAAAATGAATATTGTATGTGTTGTGTTAGAAAATAATGCTGTATTAATTTTCTTAAGTACTGTGTTAAATATAGTTTTAGGTTATAAAAATTGTTAAAATAGAAACGATGCTATGTAAGATGCTTTGTTTAACAGAAAGGGCTTGCAGCGAGATAGCAGCCACAGGACACCTAAATCTTTCAGAGAAAGGGAATTTATTATCTTATTATCAGAAGAAATGAACTTCTTCCCGCCTTGGAGGCGCTGTCAGGATTAGAAGGAAGAAGCTGACGATGACCAGACAGAATCCTGTGTTTGAATGGAATTTATGCATCATGTATGAGGTGTATGAATATGCAACAGGCTATTGCTTTTAAGGGTTAATCCTCTGTTAACAGGTGCCCTTTTTCGGGCTCCTGCTGCCCAGAAAAAGGTACCCGGACGGTCTGTAACTCTTTGTTTTTATTGTCTCATATTGTCTTAATTCAATTTGTCCAAATTGTTATTACTCTAATTGTGTTACTATTTTTATAACCACTTTATTACTATTAAACTTTAAAAATTTTAAAATCAAGTGATTGGCGTTTTTCACACTTTTCACAACTAGCAGGGTCGGTGGCACTGACCCAGCTGCTTGTGGCACTGGAGCCGTGGTCACACCACCCCTCCTCCACGCTGTGATGGTGGCAGCTGGCCCAGCCACGGCACAATTGCTCTGTCTGGCTGCTACAGAACTGTTAGAAAACAACTTTAAAATTATCCACACCACAGCAGCTTACTGTAGGAAGTCAAGCGTTTGCAGCTTAAATTTCTTCCACTGCCTTGCAGGTGGAATGTTCATTAAATGTAACCAACAGACTCCTCAAACTAAAAACTGGGCTATGCAGTTGTCACACTTCCTGAAAACGCTGGTTTAGGTGTAGAGAAAAAGCACACAAGAACTAGGTCACAGGATTCTCTTCTGGAAGATGTAAGAGATCTGATGGGTCAAAAGGAGTGGAAAAACTTGCTTAAAATGGAAGTTTTTCCCTGTCTGAGTTTATGGACTCGTTACTAAATCACTATAAATGAAACACCACAATGACTGGATCAGCTGTTTCACAGCCAAGGAAAGACAAGGATAATCTCTAATAGTGTTTGCTTAAACACTTTTCACATACTTCCATTAGCCAGGACAAAACCAAATGCTACTAACCATTAATAGCTGTAGTTTATTTCCTCAATCTTTCCTTTTTTCACTGCAAAACTGTTCTGTCACTGAAAAGGCAAAAATCTAAATGCATCTTGTTTCAGAAATATGTTTTCAAATGGTGTAAATGGCGCTAAGTGTCACCAGTAGAAACTGTAAAACCAAATGTTTTAGATATTTCAGATTTTTATATAAAGACCCAAACAGCAGAGCACAAGGCTGGAAGCACCTGGGTTTCACAAAACAGTATCAGTGATCACAGAACTACTCAGACTGAAATGTTAACTGTTTATATTATCAAGATAATGAAGCGCAGACGTTTTCCATTGTTTTTAATTTTTAACAAAATGAAACTAACTTCTGAAAGTGCAAGCTGAATCTCTTCTTAAATGTGCTGTTCAAGTCATACTGCAATGGTCTCCTACATCAGCTGCCTTATGGGACAGAGAACTGCTGCTAAAACACTGCCTATTTGCATACACAGAAGTGTTTGGGAGTATGAAAGATCAACTGCTGTACTTTTTGTTTCCAAAACTCCCTTTAGGATCTCATTTTTGAATTCCATACTAATCACACATTACTAATCTAATTGCTTTAGTAAAACATTTTGACTGATTGAGCTGTGCCTTCAGCCTGCCAGTCTTACAGCCACTCAGTATCAGAAAACCAGAGCCAACATTCTTTTCCATTGGCAAAGCTCTGCAGTTATTTTAAGCAAAAAAGATACATTTACTCCTCTCTAGCTCAGAATTCAACTTTATCTTTAGACACCAGATAGGAAAAGCTTGAGCATACTTTTGAGAAGGCTGATATGGTCCTGAAGTATGAAAACACTTCATTTCTCTCATCTTTTTCAATTATTCTCCCTCCTATTTCTCAACCCAAACTATAAAAACGTAAAACCAAAATCCAAACTCTTGAACACTCCTGTCCCTGAAGCACAAATATCCTGGACAAAAAGCCACCTTCCCTTTGGCTCTTGGAGGCAAAACATGAGGTTGGCCTGAAGCACCTAAACCCTCATTAGCAGCATAAAGGTACTAACATACTTAGTGCCTAATTGCACAGGTTCACAGATAAACCTTCTAATGACAATTATGGAATTCTCAATGATTCCGAGCACAGAATTCCAACATCAAAGCACAAAAAGAACAAGAAATTAGTGACAAGAGCAGAGCAAGCAAGGGCTCAGCACATCAGTACCACAGACTCACAGAATTGTCAGGGTTGGAAGGGACCTCGGGAGCTCATCCAGTGCAGCCCCGTGCCAGGGCAGGGTCACCTGGAGCAGTGACACAGGAACATGTCCGGGTGAGTGAGCTTTGGATGCCTCCAGAGACACCCCACGACCTGGGCAGCTGTTCCAGTGCACTGCCACCGTCAGTGTAAAGAAGTTCTTCCTCACGTTGAGACGGAACTTCTTGTGTTTCAATTATATATTAGTATTTAGTATACCAAGTATATTGGTATCTAGAGATATTATCAGCCCTTCACAGGGAAAATGGTACCCAAGAACCGAGCATCACCAGGTTTTGGTGGTTTGTTATGGGTTTTTTAAAGCAAGCAGCCGTAACAGCGATCTGACTGGCACAGAGCTCGCTTTTAGCCTGACCTGGGGCCGCTCTAATCAGAGGCAAAGACCTCTGAGGCAGCCAGAGCCGGACCGTGCTTTCCGCAGGTCCCACAGACAACCTTAAGGCGCTAAAAGGGAGACTTTTCAACATCGAGCTGACACTTTGAAGCGACAACTGCCCGAAGCCAAACTCTGCGGCAGCACACTGCAAAGAGGGAATGCGATCTGCACGCACCGCTCCGCACTCTGCGGCAGCACCGCTGCACCCCAGAAGCGATTTTAAGTGAGGACTGTGCCTCTGTTCATGCAGCACGGAGGGCACGCGGTGCCGCAGCGCTAAGAGGAGCGGTGAAGCAGCCGCAAGGAGCGCGGCCCCAGCAGCGGGCGGAGCGGAGCGCACGGAGAGGAGCGGGGCGGCGCGGGAGCCCCGAGCGCTGCGGGCCCAGCCCGCGCGGGGACCCTTCCTCACCTTGAACATGGCGGCGCCGGGCGCGCGGCGACGGGGCGATGGCGTCACCGCGGCGTGACGTCACCCGGGGACCCCGCCCCGCCCCGCTGCAGGCACCGCCCGGGAAGCGGAGGGGTCCCAGCGCTCCCTCGGGAATGGCGCCTCAGGGCTCGTGTGGGACAAACGTGGTGCCGGAGTGCTGAAAACGCTTACACACTAGCCCTCAGCCCCGCGGCACGGCTCCATGTGTTACTTTGCGGCCTTTATAAAGATGGTTCGGCTGCTCAGAGATCACAGGATCAATCACAGGATCACGGAATCAGTTAGTTTGGAAAAGACCTCTGAGGGTGTCGAATCCAACCTGTTACCGAACATCACCCTGTCGCCAGACCATGGCACTGAGTGCCACGTCCAGCCTTTCCTTAAAGCACCTCAGGGACGGTGACTCCACCAGCAGTGCATTCCCATGCCTACTCACCCTTTGTGTGAAGAAAGTTCCTGATGTCCCACCCAGCCCTTCCCTGGCACAGGAGAGACCGAGCCCCAGCCGGCCGCGCCCTCCTGCCCGGGAGCCGGAGAGGGCGATGGAGGCACCCGAGCCCCTTTACCCGGCTGGACACCCCCGGCTCCCCCTCACAGCACCCCTGCCCCAGGCCCTCCGCCAGCTCCAGCGCTCCTCTGTCTCTGCCGGAATAACGTGGATGGCAGTGCTGGTTCCGCTTGGGGTAGTTCATTCTCTTCACAGTGGCTGTGTATTGGATCAGTGCTGAACACGGTTGATAATACAGAGATGTTGTTGTTACTCGTGTGTTGAAGACAGAATATCCCTTTCGTCATTTGGGGTTACCTGTCCCAGCTGTGTCTCCTTCCATGCACTCCCGGCCCCTCACCAGCGTGGCCTTATGAAAAGCAGAAAAAGCCTTGGCTCCATGCAAGCCCTGCTCAGCAATAACAAAAACATCTCTGTATTATCAACCCTGTGTTCAGCACGAATCCAATACACAGCCCCATACCAGCCAATGTGAAGAGAATTAACTCTACCCCAGCCAAAAGCAGCACAATGGGGCTAGTGTATGGATAGGGTTCTGTGCCTTTCTCTCTCATATTAAAAAAAAAAAACAAAAAAACAAACACACACAAAAAAACCCACCACTCTTTTCTCAGTATTTTTACACTTTTCATCTCTGCATCCCTTGGGGCATCTCCCAGCTCACTTCAGTGAGTTGGACAGGTAAAAGTTTTTTCTGCTCACATCTGCAGCAAGGGAGGGTCTTGTGTACATCCCACAGTGACTGACTTGTAACTCAGTGGGAGATGAATATCAGAAATGAGGAATGCTGAATTTCTGTCAGAAAATTACTTGCAACAGGCTGCCCAGGGAGGCAGTGGAGTCACCATCCCTGGAGATGTCCAAGAAACATAGTTTCTTGAAAAAAGCTGGTATTTATTTTAGAATATGAATAGTACTGTGTTAGTCCTAGAAAACGTTGTTAGAATTTTAATGCAAAAGGTGAATCACCTGAAGAATATGGTAGCAAACACTTCATCAGGAACACAACTGTGGAAAGACAGACAAGGTAGGCATCCTTGCACGATTTTCTTTGTCATGATAATTTTTGTTGTTCCCTCTTAAAATTCCTACATTTCTTTACTGCAGATTCTTTATAGACCTAACAGAAGCAGCTATAGCAGGAAGAAGTTTAACCACTGCATTGCAGAACTGGGCAATGCTCCTTAACTGGCAAATTAATGGGACAGCAGAAATACCACTAACAAATGGTACAAGATGAGCTCCAGTACGCACAGACAATACTGGTATTTTATTATGGATTTGGTTATAGAGATTTTAGCATGGAAAAGTTAAACCTAAAGGGTACCTAAATGACCAATCAGTGAGGAACACTAATTGCCCTCTTCGTCCATTGCACCATGCTTTGCACAATCAGTTACATTTACAGAATATAAGCAGCCAGAGTGAGGCAAATGTTTATGGAAAACTGATTTTGCAGCATTTTGTGGAGGTTTTGTCAGGATGTGGAATGATGGTGTAGTTTGCAAAGCACTTACATTTCTTGATGCATTTTAATAATAATTCTCAAGGAGTTTAAGAAAATGTTCAAAGCTCAAAGTTATAGGTGAGCCCACAAGAGGAGCGATGTGAATCACTCAAGGTGAATAATGGCACCTGCCCTGGTTAGTTCTCAACCAAAGCTAAGTCCCATGCCATGGGTAGGATCAGCTGCTCCTCAATTTTTGCAGGAGGCAGATATAAGAATATTTCAAATACACTGTGTTTTTAAGTTTGGTACATGATTAGTAAAGAAAATTCCATTTCTTTCTGGACATAAAATGGTGTAAATGTTACTAATATGTATTTTTGTCATCAATTTATATGTAGTGACTATACAGCAATTATTAACACAACTATGTAACATATATAAATATCTGAAGAACAGATGGTTGTTTAAAAAAAAAATTAATCCAAATAATTTTATTAGCTCAGGCATCTTCAGTGCACTTTTTTCATTAATGTGGATATTAATCTTTAAAACTACTGATAGACTGATTCAAATAAATGGGAAAACCTTTGTAGAGAACAATACAAATATATTTGCTTTCATGTAGGAATATTCTTCTCTTATACTGGAGGAGGTTGTCCCTGCCAAATTTCCCTGGGACAATGATAATATATGCCATAATGGATTATGCACAGTCCAAAACACTGTCAGACAGGCTGAAAAAGGAGCTCAAGTTTCTGCTGCTGAGGCCACAGAATAAAGAAGTTTGGCATGGTTGACTCCTGGCTGTTTCTAACGTAAGGACCTCTAGCAAATTTCAGTTTGATTTTGCATGCCAGTAATTTTAGAAAATTGGCTTTTCTAAACACTTGTGAAAGACACATTTCCCTCAGAAAACTCAGAGATACTTGAAAATGTCACCACAGTTCATAAACTATGTAATCACAGGCAGAAATACAATTTAAGGAACTTGATCTCTAATCCAATGCCTTAGGCATTATGGTCTGAGCTTTCATAGTGTTGTATTAGATTGCTTGTTTACAGATTATTTTTGGGTCAGGAAAATAAGATCAGTCTTTTACTACTAAAACACTTACAGTTCTTTGCCATAGATGTACAATTGTAGGGAAAAAATTTATTTGTTGCACATTAATGTTAAAATATGAGTGTAACATCTGTCCAAATACCAATGAAGTTACCTACTCACACTGATTACTGGAAAACATTATAATTCTGGAAGGCTGGTTTATTTTGATGTTCTCCTTCAAGATAAATGTTCTTGTATATTAAAAAAACCAAACAAACAACCTCAACACCCCCCATTTTTCTCCATGCACCTTTTCTCATTAAAACACATTATTTTTTAAAATACCATGACTTGTCACTACAGTTTTGCCAGCCTGTTCAGAACTGGGTTTTGATGTCTTTATAAACTAAACTGCTGTTCCCCCTCTTAGAGCTTTTTGTGTTGTAAGTGGAAAGAATGCTGTTTGGCAGCACTCCCTTCAAGGTCATTGAAAATATGTAGTTAATAGGAAATACAGAACCAGAGGCTCCAGTAAATTCAGTTTCAGCTGTTAAGCAGCTTCACCCAATGCTGTGAGGCTGGAAATGCCCACACAAGGCCCAGGGGGAGGGCCACGGCAGGCACAGCCATGCAGTCTGCAGAGCCATGATCAATTCCTCAGGTTCCTGTCACTTCTAGCACCTATTTGTCAGGCAGCTGACTGAACTGGCTTTTATGGGGTGCATGATGACACTTTTCACAATGCCTTTAGTAGTTTGCATGTCCATAGGAACACCCCTTCATCCTTTCTACTTCATTCACTTCCGAAATAAAAACAAAACCAAACCGAAATTGAACAGGCTTTTGTTTTTAATGATACCGTCTTATTTAGAGTGAAACTTACCCTGTGCTTTTTCTTTTCACAGCTGAGGTGGGTCGTTCTTCGACGTTTGTCAAAGGCACTTTCTTGGCAGCTACAGGTCTGAATTCACACATTCAGAAAGTAATTTGGCTGTTGAGAACAGATGCCATTGCAGAGCTATTTGTGAGTTCCCACTGACCTACCTTTACTTGCAGCAAAGGCTTTATGCATTCACATCTGAGGTAAACCAGGACGAATTTCAGCACCTGTTTTCTCACCAGCTTTGTCACATTCTGACAGCATCCAAAATACATTCTGTGCTTTCCAAATAAAGATTCTATAAAATAAGACAAGAGGCAGGTAGAAGAGAGACATACATAATGCAAAAACCCCAGTATAACCCAAATGCATCTATTTCACTTCTGGTATACCATGGTTAAGAACCCAAACATTCCTTCCCTGATTCAAATCCTTGGCTTCTTGCTGCAGCCACCAGAAGCTCTGGTTCCTCATTTTCCAGCTACTCATTTTCCAGCTACTCCTTCCAGCCACAATGAATAATTCTTCTGTCATTCTATCAACAGGTTGTTGATACCACCAACAGAGATGTGTGGATTGCCTAGTCAAGCACAGGTAATAGGCTACCGGTAGCAGTGAAAATACAAACAGCTTTTTGATGCCCTTAAATACTCATCACAACAAAATCCAACTCTTTTCAAAATTCAGATGCACCTCAGATTTCAGTTGAACAGGATACATTCTGGAAATCAGCTGAGGCTAGAAGATGAAAGCATCTGCATCTGTTGCCAGTCTGTATATATTTTGTGCATGAATTTTTTTTACCTTAAAAATTATTTTCACAGTAATCCTTAATTTCTTAGCAAGGTGTTGTGAATAGCTTTACCTCATTTGCCTGTAAATGTCTTGATTTACATATATTCACAAATATGCATGAATATCAAATGTAGTACATTATTTACCTAAAATAGTTTCTAGGTCTACCAAATAATTCTCAATTAAAGGAACACATTCCTTCTGGAAGCAAAATGCCCTTTTTAGGACATAATCTATTTCTGTGCAGAGCACTCCTTAGTCTGGAAGTCCTTCTGCAGTTCCTTGCTCTGTGGTACCAAGGCCTTTGTTCAGGCTGGGTTTGCACCTCTGCATTCCTTTGTCTCATTCATCAAAGCCCATCATATCTGG